TGAACTTTTGGCTCTTGCAGTCATTTTTGTTCAGATTTAACATATGTTACACTGTTGATGATACGGTAAAATTGTGTGACAACCACAATTTATAAAATGAAAGTGAATGGTGACTGAGTTTTTCTACAGAAAAACTGAGTGATATAGGATTGGAACAACATGAGGATGTGTAAATGAGGATTTTTTTTTTGTTAGATGAACCTTTTAAAGAAAATTTAAAGAAATTAAGTTTTATTCCCCAAGGACACATTAAATTGCTAAAAAAAAAAAAAAAAAAGGAACGTAAAGACATTTATAATGTGACAAAATGTTTATATTTCAAATAAATACTGTTCTTTTGAACTTTCTATTCATAAAAGCATCCTCAAAAAATATTCCACAAAATCCACAAAAAAATATTAAGCAGCATCACTGTTTTCAGCATTAAATTAATTGTTAAAAAAACAGTTATATAGATAACTGTAATAATATTTCACAATATTAATGTTTTTACTGTATTTTTGATTAAATAAATGCAGCCTTGGCGAGCATGAGACACTTTTTAAAAACATTACTGACTCTAAACTTATGATCGGTAGTGCATGTTTAGGCTATGTATATATGTATGTGTACATATTATATTACTTTAATAATATATAATTATATAATGTTCTTTTATGATGATGTTTTTGTTAAGCTATTGTCACCAAATGATTGGCTGTTTGATTAACCAGAATAACTAGCTCTGTAACAACATTTAAACGGATCCATTTAAAACCCACTGAACATAAAGAACATTTGTTTGGCAGAGAAATCTCCACAGTTAATACACACCCGAATTCTCCTCCTCAGAAACTGGTTATTCATGAAAAGAGCTGTTTTCCTTCACCATTGGGAATGTATTACGCATGTATCAGCATTAGTCCTAAATTACTTTTGTCCTTCTCAATGTGTTGTTTTCACGTAATTTGTATGTGTTTATTCTTTTTATTGATTCCTTTTGCTCTTTCTTTCAGAATTCCAAGAAGCCAGGATGAAGTGACATTATTCCATACTTTAGTAGTGCATGAAGAAGTATCCTTGAAGTTGTTTTAAGTGCTCGACAGCTTCTGGAGACTTTGGCTCAGGTCCTGCTCGTCTCTGTGGGAGTCTACATGTTTTGTGTTTGTATGTGTACGTGTAAATGTGTTGATAGGTAAGGGAGAGGCAGAATTAATTCACCTTGCTGACAACAGATATCCCGGGAGAGTGTGTTCAGGCAGTAATCACTGTGGCCAACGTGTGCGGCAGCAGTCGGTGGTCCCTTGTTATTATCTGTGCGTGTTAAATTACTGGTTCAAGATGTGAGTAATGCGAGGCAGGTAAGACCAGCAGTGCAGCAGGCCCATCACTCTTAGCAGCAGGTGGAGAGTGTTCGCCAATGACGTTGGGAAGCACGGCGGTGGGTATATTCGGTTGCTAATTCTTCCAAGTCTTCCCCTCGCTATGGCACAACCTATTAATTCCCCTGTCCTCTTCTCATTAATATCACATGATTGTGCGGCGGAGTCTTCCCCTGTGTGATTTGTCCCTCTGGAGGATTTGCAGTCCCCGGACAACGAAGCAGAAGTTCCTCGTTCCCTCGCTCTCACGAATGCGGGATAATTACACAAAAGGTCTCACCCACCGAGGCCTGAATTGGCCTCTTTGGTTATTATCTAATTAATAAAGCAGCATGATAATGGGCAGCACATCCACAGGAGAGAGGTATTCACGCCTGGGCTTTCGTATCTGACTCTGTGTCATTTCCTGACCGCAGTTTTGTCCTGTCTCGGAATTAACTGGATATATCCAGGTTTTTGTGGCAGTGGAGCGCAGCTGAGAGTCCTTGTGGAGGTCATATCTGCAGCGCAGCAGAGCTCTGATTTATATAAATGAAGTTCTGGGTGCCAGTGGTCCATATGGGCCGGGTCTGGGCTTTGGGAGTCTCAGCAGTGCTGCGGTAATTAAGAATCGGGGCTAAACGGGGAACAGTCACCTTGTGCTCCTCCAGGAGCCGCTCTGAAGTGTGTTTCCTGCTCCTGCAATCAGGTGTTGTCCCAAAACTTGCGTCCGCACCTCACCCTGCTCCTGTTTTATGTAGATTTAGTAAGCTGAACAAGAGCACAGGTTGACAGACAGCCAAATGTACACTGTAAAATGATTCCTGGTTAAAAAAGATTCAAAGAATTGCTTGATTATTGCAGATATTTATGTTTGCCTACTATTCTGAAAAGAAAGTGAGTTGCATTCAGATAGGCCTGCACTGAAAAACACTAAAGAATTTTATTCTTTTTTTTTTTTTTTGCGTCATGTTCGCTGCTGTGACAAAGGCTGTAAAGGAGAAGTTGTGTGAAAAGCCCTTATATGGAGATGGTTTGGGTGTGTTTTGTGCAAATTATTAACCTTGGGCATGAGGCCACTCTTTTAGAATACTCTAAAATCATTAACATTAGAATTAATGTTCATTAGGAACAAAATCACGTGCATACACACGTGTTGTGAACTTTGTGAATATTTTTCGTGAGAAGTTCTCTTGTGCGTACAAATATAAAATAATGAATTGTTTTTATGATATGTGAATGAGATCCGTTAGCTTTAGCTAACTCAAAGAGAAAACTGACCGTAGACACTGATGATGCTAAAACCTGCTGTAGCGCCCATGAAGGCAATGTTGAGAATACAACACACAATTTTTGCACTGTGAATTGCAGTCTTAAACATTTCACAATAAACGCACAAAATCTTGTGAAGCTTGTGTAGCTAAAAATATCTGCATTTACATACATTTGCATACATGTAAATTTATTTATTTAAAGATACACTGCAGATTTCCTGGTTCTCTAAAGTCGCTTCATTAAATTGTGTAGTCTTACTGTAGCCAGGCAATAACATTTTTGAGAACTTTTTTTATGCAGTGCCTTAAATTTTAATTTCTAAAAAAAACCTATGTTCAAGAAATACTCAGTGCTGTACAGTGCGACATGCATGTTGCACATGCTACGGTCTGTGCAAGGAATAACTGTGATCACTGTAGCTCACGTGCAATACAGTTTTGCATGTGTTCGAGGCAAGGTCACTTGTTTGTGTGAAGCGAGAGTTTGTTGTGTGCTTGTTTGAGTGTGAGGTTAATCAGTGGTGCACCGCTAATTTACTTGGTAGATGTACTCTATTGTATGATTCAAAAATCATGTCTCGGCTGTATTGAGTCCATACACCCAATTCCATTGGTAAAAGAGTTATTTAAAGTAATGTCTGCCCGCAGACCCACAGATCTGTCCTGCTAATTTGGAATGCAATGTTGTTGAAGTGTAAATGGATTGTGGATTGTGATATTGGGCTATATAAACAAAATTAAGCAAGAGGTGTTATGTTCCTGCCACTTTGGGCAAATAAGGAGAATGTTTGTCTGAAAACATTGAGGGGGTTGGATTTTGTGTGTCCTGCATGCAACATTAATGTCCTTTGCCAGTCACATGCCTGTTTAAGTGATGAACGGCACTACTTGTAGTTGTTTTTAGAGATGTAACATGCTTTTAATATTTGTGCTACAATTGTGTGGCCTGTGCTACAGTACAAAACTTTCAACTTCTGTAGCACCAATGCTATGTGCAAAAAACGTTAACATACAGACCTGTTAGTTCAATCAATGTTAA